TATAAATATATTTTTAAACTTGTGGAATATGAGTTGGCAAGTGCTACAAGTTGAAAACTTTTCTCGCAGACTGTACATGTCTGTACAGTTGCGTATACCCGATTCGTACTTGAGTGAATCAATTCGTTTAGCGCCGGCAGTGGTTGCTGCTCTCTCACCTACTGACACTTTTCAGGTTTTATTTTTACTTTTCAATTCATTCACATGTTGCTTTTCGCATTCAACACGATAACACGGTACAGAATAAGAGGAGCACATTCACCACTTTCAAACGTGCTTGGTCTACTTGTGTATGCGATAGAAATTCCAACACATTCTCATTTTAAAATATGTTTTGTTCTCGTAAAGGTGCCAGTGATAAGGAACCAATTAAAAAGTATTTATTTAACGGATTCAAGAAACATTTGTAAATTTCCTTTGTGATCATGACAGGATCTCCAAAGAATGCACTTGAAACAGTCATTAAATCACATGTGAAAAACGATAGCCTATTTTCAATTATAAGCGAAATAAATCTGCATTTGTTTCTGACCAATTTGTCACCAAAATCGTGCGTGTTTTGTGTAGACCGATTAATGTCATCTTGTTTGGAATGACTAGTAATTTTTGTTTATACTGAACACGTGTTTGAAAGGTTCTGGCATTATCTGTTTCAAAAACTTATGAAATGTGAAATTCGTTATCTATACATAGTCATGCACATGTCTTCCAGAGCTTTCCTTGGCGTTTCCATACAACTTGTATGCATTCCAGCTAATTTTTCCGGTCCTCTTCTTAACACCAAAATCAGCATTGATTATCTAGTTCTTGTAACTCATTCTTCAGTGCTTCTATAACTTTCGTTCAAAAAACATTCAAGGGGGCCGTTCAAGGAACCATTTGTTATGTCGTTATCGGCCGATGGGGAAGGGGTGTTTTTATGTACTATATAGTATATGAACTTAGTACCTTCATTAATAGTATATTATCTACGAATATGAATTGTACCAATAAACTTACAAAATACTAATAAAAAATGTAAAAAGCGGCGTCTTATCAAATTGTGAAGATTCCAATTGCATACATACGTACTTTTTTCATAAGTCTTCAAGTTTAGTTATGCTCGTGTGCCTTCGTAAATGCTTAAACATACACATACATATGTAAGTGAAAATTGTTTATATT